CTCAACCTCCTGCACAAGCTCGGGCTCCTTCCCCACCAGCGAGGTGACATTCCATGTCCCCAGGGCTAGCCGTGTCCAGAGATCGGGTTGTCGGGGCCCCTGCCTTCGACTGCTGCCCAATCCACTGTGCACCGGCCCCTTACGGATCCTCCTGCAGGTGGTGGGCCCACGGGAGGACGTCCCCACGTTGCTCGTTCGGGCTAAGCCCGGCCACCAGGCGCTCACATTCAAGCCCCAATCCCGAGCCTAGCTCCAGGGTGGGGCCCCGGCTGCGCCATGCTGGGCGACATCATGGTCCTTGATTTTAATCTATTCATAAAGGGCTTTTGAACCCGCTCTTAGTCTGACCCGTCACCCAGGACCTGTTTGCCTTGGGAGACTCTACCAGGGACATATAGCCCCCGACAACATAGCTCCTAGGATCATTCGGGTACTCAAACCCCTCCACCACAGTAAGGTGGCGGTTCAAGAAGGTTCTTTAACTTGAAATTAAAAGATAATGTATGTTATATTATCAGTGTCTGTAACTAAAAGTCATTCACTGGACTATTTTGCAAACAGAATCCATCATTAAATGGCTATAGTTTGCAAGTTAAATCAGTTTTAGCATGTGGAAAAAGTTATTTCTGAACTGCAGTGTCATGCCATTGAATGATCATTGTCTGTAGTAATCACATCTATAAATATGGTTGAGGAGGTTCCTCCTGCATCTCCCTGTATTGGTAGATGTGGTAATCAGGTGACCTCTAGTGGTTCTAACTGTGGTGTAAACAAAGGGGGAACTAATGTCAAATAGTATATGTTGTAAGAAAGTTTGTCTCAGCGGGAGTTTGAGGTGGATGGGATGGTTATAAAACATTTCATTATAAAAAAAAGCTGTTTTTATTTTATCAATGAGTATTTTTTACCTAAAAATCTTCCCTAATCAAGTAATGTTTGTTCCTACATCTAATCAAGTAGTTTTTGTGCATGAAACAGCTATGTTTTATTATTGTTATCATAACAATTAAGGGTTATGGCATGAAAACAACCTTTTGGGTGGATTAGGGACCTGAGACATAACTATGCTTTAATAACTAGTAATAATAGGCCATTGATTGGTGTGATAACATCAACACTCATGCATACAGTATTGACTAAGTCAAGCCTTGGAAACACAGGCTCATCATAAATTTCTATACCCATGTTAATGGTAATTAATGCTAAAATAAGGATGTTGTAATCTAATAATAATACTAATCTAATAATAATCTGGGGAACACAGATCCA